AATTGTAGAAAAAACAGACACAATAAATTCGCGTTCTCAAAACAATCATCTTTTTAGCCCACGATGAGCCGACAGATTGAATCCCTCAACCGTTCCCTTTCCTGTCCATCAATTCTCTAACGCCACTACTCTCGCATTTTACTCTCAAACCTCACCTCCTCAAGCCTTCCCAGTTTTTCTTCTAACTCACCACGCATGGCTCCAGACGACTCAACGCAAACAGTTATTAAAACCATATCTAGTTTCAATAACTCTGATAAAGAAACCCCTGATGAATACTTTGACTCCAAACCTAGCCCTCAAATTTTTCCCAAACATCCTTTTAACCCATTACTTCTCAACTTCCCGACGAAGCCTCTCCCTCCCCCTCTTCATACACTGACGCTACTCTGATCATTTCTACAATGTCAAGTAATCAACCCGACGCACCCAACCCTGTTTTGAATTCGAGCATGAACCAGATTATTTATAACCCAACAAAAACACCTTTATGACACAAATATTGCATTACAATTTTGTCAACTAACCTACTCGGCCTCAACATCCGAGTCCTTATCTCCTTCAGTTAATATTGCATTTGCAAGAGCACATCGAGTTTTTAAGCGAAATCACCCTAACACTACACCTCAAACTCTTATTAGTCGTCCACGTTCATCCCGACTATCTTCCCATCGCTCGCAGCACACTAACACGCATGACTTTTTAAGCCACGACTTACCATCTTCCCCTCAATACACATACTATTCAATTAACTATACAACCCAACTGAACTTATTCGTTGATGAAAATGAGCTAGTTCCCACACTCTCCTGGCTTCCTACTACGATTTTACCAATCCTCTGAAACTCATATTAAAAAACAACCCCAAAGATAACGAACTCTGCCACTCTTTCATTCACTAACTAACCACCGCACTTAACGAGAATCAATTCACACCATCGTTCTAAACCAAACCCTAATTAGATTTATAGCACCAGGCGCAAACAGTTTTTCCATTAACCACTATGATCATGCTGTCACAAGATATATGGAAGATACCCCACACGAAGGCAATCCCAACACTAAGCTTCAACCTTTAAGAACTTTTTCATCAGATCAGAGTATATATTCCACTTAGATAGCACTAATAAAAAGTTTGATAATATAAACGCGCGCGCAATAACAAAGACCAAAGCCTACGAAGTTTTTTTAAGTAAATTGAACCATTTTGCACTCACCTTTCACTTCCTTACACCCAAGGAACGATATATGAACTGTTCGCATCAAACTATGTTAAAGACATAACTAATTCACCAGTACACATCATAATTTATACAAAAATCTTATATCACAAACACACCAACCCGTAACCCACAATATCGTTTTGTGTTTATCAATTCCAAATACATGTCACCATAATTCTTAAATTTCACCTATTGTATTAAATCTACCAACTTACACGGCATCCCCCGTAATTATGGTCCGGTCAGACAAATGTACTTATTCTGCCCATTAACCAACACCTTACCCATTGATGACGCTCGCCCATTAACAAAGGCGCACGAATATGTAGAGCTCATTGAAATAACCCTACTCGAGCACATTCATGAAACTAATTTTAATCACCAGCTTTATAACCTAAGCCAAAACACAAATCAAGAATTTTCAACACCTACCGAAGAAGTAGAAAACATCAGACCGCTTGGACTTCTTTTGCATCTGCTTCGCACTAAAAACGTAATCCGCACGGTCGCCAAGCTTCTCATTACATCAGACACGACAAAGACTACTTTTCCCCATGAATTTTACCCTGAAACAGAGCCCACATATGCATGATTATTATTAAAACCTTGACAAATAAAACAAAACACCCACCATTGTTAAACGAGTTTTTCCTCTAATTTTTTAAAGTTTCAGCAGTCATTCATCTAAAACAATAAAATCCAAATAAAAAATGGCAAACTCTTTTTGTAAAATTAAAACTTTAATCTAACAACAAAGCTGAATTATCCAAGTGCAATAAACTTCATAGCCAATGCAATAAATTAATAATTCTGCAGTAAAATTCAAAAAATTTAAGATAGTAAAAAAAAACGCAAATAGATTACAAGCATCTAATCTTTTATTTGAGCCTCTTTTTTAACTCGATATTTGTCATTTGCTTGACCAAATTTCACACACTCTATCCACCAAACTCGCACAATTCGCCCACGTAGAATTGTTTAATAAATGAACTTTAGGTTTGAATAAAAAATCATAACAACTCTAACTTGCTTTCACACATTTCAAACTTTCCCTTAACTCGGTTGGAACTATAAGTAAGCCTAAACTAAACAACGCAGCTTACTAATACCAAAAAACCAACCGCATGTATAAATAAGTCCCACGGTACTCAGATCAGATAAAACCCAGATCTAAACTTGATAAATTATTCTTTTTAAACCCACTTTCCTTTTAAGGTTTTATTGAAACCATTTAAAATACTAAAAACTCAAAAAACCCAAAACCCAACAATCTGTTTTTGATAAGAGGACACAACTGAAAACAGAAAAGTTAAAAACACAAAACAGAAAAGATAAAATAGAACACAAAAAGGGAGTCTGCTCAAAGAGTCGGTAAAACTACACTCCCTTCTGGCCTAACCCACCCCAACACGATGTAGCTCAAAAAGCATGCGCCCATCATGTGCCTCGACTCCAATCCTCTATTTTTGCTAAGAGTGGCTCCAGGGTGAGCAACTCTTCAAAATAAAGGAAACTAAACAAAAACGCTTTTGCGAAAACAATTAATAAACATCAATATCAAAACTGATCTCACTAACAAGATATAGATTTGATATGCAAGGAAAAAAGATTTCTTAGAGCAAACGGTATGAGCAGCGAAGGAAGATGAAAACCCGACGAAATTCCGACTCTGGAATGGCAAGTCTATCGGTTTGTTGCTATCTTTTTGATTGCTAGGATATGATTGGGCTAAGTTCTACCCAGTTGCCTTCGAAGTGGGAGAGACGCAACAAAATTAAGTCTTCCTAGATCTTAGGGTGGAACTTTTTTGGCAGAAGAAGAAGTGTATCCCTCCTGAATTTTGGCCGGAGCATGTTCTGTTTCGGTCACATCGGAACATGAAATGGGTGACATGCAGAGCAAGTAGGTGAAATGATAGCATGTTTCATCCAGCAAAGTTTCGTTGAAACCAATTATAGCGTTTGAGTCAAAAACTTCTGAAAGGCAGCGTATTTTAGCATGTTTTTAGGCTTCTGCAGTTTAGAGTTCGAGATTTGATGTACTCATGGTGCTGTTTCGCAATACTTTTGAGGTTCTCAGGAAACATGACTGGGCCAGGGTTTACTTCGATGTCCTCGCATAGAACGAGCAAAGTTTGCGACATTGCAATTTGAAAATGTATAAAAAACTGCACTAGCTGTGTAGCTACTTTTGATTTTATATATGGATTTAGAAGGAGTCATATTTGCGCAGTTCGCCGAAATTTTAAGATTTAGCTGAAAGTTAAAATATAGGGAAAAATATGGAGAATCTTGAAAAGAAAAATCCTAAACATGATTTATAAACAAGAGATTTCGGAGTCACTCTGGTTGATATCGTTATATCTAAAGCTTTTAAAACTGTTAAGAGGACGAAATTACTGAAATCTGTGAAAAAAGATAACAACATTTTCCGATTTATGCTATCGAACACCAGTCTAGCAATAAAAGTTGATAACAACATTGTCCAACTCATGCTATCGAACACCCGTCTAGCAATAAAACTTGGCTAAAAATCAGTGACAAGTTCAACGCAAGTATCGTGGTACCACAGGGTGACGGGCTAGCCCCAAAGTTGTTCCAAATCTACCTAAATGAAGCACTAAAAGAGTTAGACATTTTGCGGAAAAGCCCTCAAGGCCAAAACTCTGAAAATCCAGATGTTGAATTACCCCTGCATATTGATGACGGGGAGGATTGGGATTTCATTTGTAATAATTCCGGAAGTGCTGATGAAATTTTGGCGCATGCGGAGACTGTTTTTTTGATACTGAACCCAGACAAAACAGAAATTACCGCATTAGATCGCTCTTCAGACCTCACTAAAATGAAGAAGCTTGGCTCTCTGCTAGAAGATAGAGCTGACATCAACAGGCAATAACAACTCCAAACATCGCTTGGTACAAAAAAAACCTATTTGGAAATAAACTAGTTTATTTCTTATCTCGAAAAACAAAGTCAGAACTTACAATGTGTACGTAAATCAATACTAACGTAAAATTGATCTGTATGACATTCAAAGAAAACAATCGATGAAAAATTGAACAAATTCCATAGACAACAGCTCAAAACCGTGCACAACGTCCATTATCCATGTATAATTAGCAGCAAAGACCTTTATGAAAAAACAACTGAAAAAGAATTTTATATTTTTGTTTCAGGGAGGAGGAAAGTACACCTCGGACAAGTACTGAGAAGAAGAAACAAGCCAGCAAATGTTCTGAAAACCTACAAAAACGATTTCCATTGAAACGACTTTAACGTTCTTAAGCACAAAACTATTTCAAGGATACTCTTAAAAGAGTGAAATCTTGTTATCTTATTGTAGAATATTTTTTTGGGCCGTTTAATGCTTAAGACCCAATTATAAGCTACTTTTGCCTTCTTCACTTTTTGTCTAATCTTAACCCAATTTGAGAAAAACGCGTTTAAATTTTTCATTGTTTTTCGTTTATTTACTCAAAGCATCCTTGTATCCGACTAAAATAAATAGTGTGACGAGCATAAGGTGTACTTTAACTGAAACTACTTATTGAGATTTTTTGGTCCCATCCAAAGGTGTAGTTTACTTTTACACAGAAAAATTGCTGAAAAATCTCTGTCAAAAATGATAATTCATCATTTAGTCTGATTTGAAGCTTGGCGATACAAGTTGATACAACTTTGATCATCGAAGCAAACTGATAATTTCAAATCTAAGAATTTAATTAGTTTCATTCAATATGTTTATAAGTAAAGTTTTTTGGAGTAAGCAGTCAAAACAAAAAATTAGAAGTCAAATACACCAGTTAAAGTATATATATATATTTTGGAATTACCGAATCAAATTCTTTAACGCATAACTTGTTTGTTAATTCAGTTCGTAGCTCGCCTATTCATTTTTTGTCCTTATATAGAATTCTGTTCGATGTTGATCTCGGTCGGTGTCGCAGTAATTGGGGGCATTTTTGCTCCTGGTTGTAGTGGCTGTACGACTGGCTGATTATAATATCGAGGGGGCTGATTCATTGGAACCTGGTTGGGCGCTGCATGGGTGTCCGCGATCACCCCAGACTGGGGCATTGAATCACCTTGTTGTACCACCGGTTTGTTAATATATCCGAGGGGCTCATTTGTAAGCACCTGGTACGGTGTTGCATGGATCACCCCTGCTTGGTTTCCTAGAAAAGCAGGTTTAAAGGTTCAAATAGTATTCGGCTGTAAAATACAACAAAACTCGTTAGATCCATTGTTTTGATGTAATCAAGCTATGTCGTTAGTGATTAATTTTTCTCTTTGGGGTAAACCAATGTTGTCTGTTTTCTTTTTAAGCGTTCCCTGGGTTGACCGGCTTAAACCAAAAACGCTAGTCATACAATATCATGGTTGAGTTTATGAAAAAAGCGATTTTTATATGAGGATTTGGGAAATATAGAAACTTAAAGTACCAAAAATGCCGCAAAATTCTGTACAAAAAAAATATTTTGCGAAAAAAATTGCTAGCAAAATTAAAGTTTTTTGTCTATAACGTAGACCAATTGCTCAAAAATTTCAAAGTCTTTTATCAACCAAATTTCAAAGACTTTTAACTAGATTTGCTTTCAGCGGAATTCAAGTTTTTTTTTAAAAATTGGTTGATACCAAAGACGCTTCGGATAGTTAAAAGTTTAAGAATTTTTATAACGGCGAAAAAATAGTAGCTGATTTAAGTTGCACATGCTGCTCGTAAAATTCAGACAAATTCTTCAAATTTCATATGAATTTTGACCTGACCTTGTGGCCAATGGGAATCTATTCCCCATGGTCATTAGGCGTGGAAAGAACCACAACTCCTTCACAAGCTGAAACTGAACTATAGCAAAAAAAGTTTGGTGTTTGAAAGTTTTTGCAACATTATTAGTCGTACAATTCCCACGTATGGCAGAATTACAGTCAAGTTACAGTGCTGATTTAAATTATCCGGACAAAACGAACAAAACTTGAAAGTTGGATTCAAATTTTCCTCAAACAGGGTTCAAATTAGACAAAAAGTGAGGAGAACAAAAGTTGCTTATAATTTCATCAAAATATATATGGGGGAACTTCTTCTCCGAAATTCTCAACCAAAATTTTACCCCAAAAATGGGTCATTTTGACTTTTTTCAGACAATCAAAAATGATGCTGAAGCTACTTTGTTAATTGATGAGAAATGTATATCACAAGAAGCTTCTTACACATCCAACAAAATTCTTGAAGGGTTAAATCTCCAAAAACCTATAAAAGAGAAATCATTTTTGCTTGATTGTCAAGAAACGTGATTTTTACTATATAAAACCAAAATCTCTGATAAAGAACAAATTTTAAACACTTTACACAAATTTTTAGAGATTTAAACCTCGTATAACTTCGTTGGGATGTAAAATAAGCTTCTTGTGTCATATATTCCTTATCGATTAAAAAATAGTTTAAGCGTAATTTTTGATTGTCTGAAAAAAATCAAAAAGACCAGTTTTTGGGGTAAAATTTTTGTTGAGAATTTCGGATAAAAAATTGCACCATATTAATTTTGATAAAATTCTAAGCAACTTTTGTGGTCTTCAATTTATGTCTAATCTTAACCCAATTTGAGAAAAACGTGTTCTAAAATTCAAGTTTTCTTCATTTTGTCCGGATAATTTAAATCAGCACCGTTTTCTCATAAAAAGAAGCTAGTCCAACAGTTTTCATGCTTTTTTTATATGCAAGAAACTGGACTGGAACCAGTTTAAAATTATTATTTATAACCAATTATAATCTTGATAAAACTATTTCTATAAAATATGTCTTACAAACCAATCATGATCCATAACTAACACTGACGATTAATTGTAATGATGAAAATTTTTGTAGTTTCGGCGCCAGAACAATTTAAATATTACTTAGAAGACATGGTCATTAGGTGTGGAAAGAACCACAACTCCTTCACAAGCTGAAATTGAACTATAGCAAAAAAAGTTTGGTGTTTGAAAGTTTTTGCAACATTGCTAGTCGTACAATTCCCACTTATGGCAGAATTACAGTCAAATTACAGTGCTGATTTAAATTATCCAGACAAAACGAACAAAACTTGAAAGTTGGATTCAAATTTTCCTCAAACTGGGTTCAAATTAGACAAAAAGTGAAGAGAACAAAAGTTGCTTATAATTTCATCAGAATTTATATGGGGGAACTTCTTCTCCGAAATTCTCAACCAAAATTTAACCCCAAAATTGGGTCATTTTGACTCTTTTCAGACAATCAAAAATGACGCTGAAGCTACTTTGCTAATTGATGAGAAATGTATATCACAAGAAGCTTCTTACACATCCAACAAAATTCTTGAAGGGTTAAATCTCCAAAAACCTATAAAAGAGAAATCGTTTTTGCTTGATTGTCAAGAAACGTAATTTTTACTATATAAAACCAAAATCTTTGATTAAGAACAAATTTTAAACACTTTACACAAATTTTTGGAAGTTTAACCCTCGTATAACTTCGTTGGGATGTAAAATAAGCTTCTTGTGTTATATATTTCTTATCGATTGATTATCGATCTTATAGACAATCTAATAGATATTTCTCTACGATTGATTATCGATCAATATTTTCGATCAACGATTCTTATCGATTGATTATCGATCTTATAGACAATCTAATAGATATTTCTCTACGTCTCAACTTGTCTAATCCATTATTTCAATTGATACGGCAAACACCAGGTCAAAACTGAACAACAAACCGTGCTTCTACACCGTGACACGACGCAAACTGCAACGAGTATTTCTCTACAGAATTTTCATGCAGTAAATTTTCACTCTCTTACAGTAAACTAAATTACGTGGAGCAATAAAATTCATTTTCAAGCAAAATATATATATTTTTGATGTTGTAATACCATTTTAAATAACCATAATAACGACTGATAAAACAATATACAAGTTGTTCCTCTCATCAAAATCTGCAGTAATGTTGAAATTTTTTGTAAAATTAAAATTAATTGAAAAAAAAATAGTTAGTGACAAAATAAAAGCTAGTTTTGTTAAACTTATCGAAGTTCCATGTTTCTCACGGGAACTAACTTTTTCACCTTTTTTTCTCCCATCCTCTTCATCTTCGTTTCCTCATTTAAAATATAAACATATTTATTCAAAATCTAGTATTATTTAAAATTTCAATCGTTAATTCATTTCTTCTAAAATCTTAACATTTTAATTAACCTAAACTTGAAACTTAAATATTATCAAGGCCTATCCTTGGTTCGTATCAACTTAATTTTTCCTAAAAGTTTGAGTATCCCTTAGGTTCTTAAGTGTTAATTCTTTTAATTTAAGACTAGTTGATCATCAAGGCTTCTCTTGAATCAATCAGAACCATTTTGTTCCCCCAACCTCCTAGATAAAGTTTCCAACGCTTATCAACGACCCAGGACTTATAGAAATTTTTGAAAAACTAACCATTTTAATCATGATAAACAGTGAAGAATTTCGATGACTCATCCTTCACTTAAACCCCTCCTCTTAGTTGACCCAGGTTAAAACAATCATAAACCTAGTAAGATCCAAAATGGAATCTAACGATCTACTTGCTGTTCAATCCTTCTTGACGCTCAAATTAGCGACTATAACAAAAAGCTAGCTACACAAACAAACACACATGGCACTCCACAAAACAATACAAATTTGTTACCCGCACCACCACCATAAATAAACAGTCTAAAAATAATCACCCTGTGTCCTTAGTTCCCCAAAATTATAGGAACACACTTGCAATCACTGAACATACGTCTCGAGGTAGTAACTTTGCAAGAAATCCAATATCTTATGTAACACTCCATCAATCAAATATTGACGGCACATACGACCAAATTGTAGAAAAAACAGACACAATAAATTTGCGTTCTCAAAATAATCATCTTTTAGCCCACGATGAGCCGACAGATTGAAACCCTCAACCGTTCCCTTTCCTGTCCATGAATTTTCTAACGCCACTGCTCTCGCGTTTTACTGTCAAACCTCACCTCCTCAAGCCTTCCCAGTTTTTCTTCTAACTCACCACGCATGGCTCCAGATGACTCAACGCAAACAGTTGTTAAAGCCTAATTTCAATAACTCTTATATAGAAACCCCTGATGAATACCTTGACTCCAAACCTAGCCCTAAAATTTTTCCCAAACATCCTTTCAACCCATTACTTCTCACAGCCTCTCCCTCTCCCTCTTCATACACTGACGCTACCCTGATCCTTTCTACAATGTCAAGTAATCAACCCGACGCACCCAACCCTGTTTTGAATTAGAGCATGAACCAGATTATTTATAACTCAACAAAAACACCTTCATAACACAAATATTGCATTAAAATTTCGTCAACTAACCTACTCGGTTTCAACATCCGAGTCCTCATCTCCTTCAGTTAATATTGCATCTGCAAGAGCACATCGAGTTTTTAAGCGAAATCACCCTGACACTACACCTCAAACTCTTATTAGTCGTCCACGTTCATCCCGACTATCTTCCCATCACTCGCAGCACACTAACACCCTTTTTAAGCCACATTTACCATCTTCCCTTCAATATACATACTATTCAACTAACAATACAAACCAACTAAACTTATTCGTTGATGAAAATGTGCTAGTTCCCACACTCTCCTACAATTTTACCAATCCACTGAAACTCCTATTAAAAAAGAACCCCCAAGATAACGAACTCTGCCACTCTTTCATTCACTAACTAACCACCGCACTTAACGAGAATCAATTCATACCATCCGCTTGAACCAAACCCTAATTAGATTTATAGCACCAGGCGCAAACAGATTTTCCATTAACCACTATGATCATGCTGTCACAAGATATATGGAAGATACCCCACACGAAGGCAATCCCAACACTAAGCCTCAACCATTAAGAACTTTTTAATCAGATCAGATTATATATTCCACTTAGATAGCACTAATAAAAAGTTTGATAATATAATCGCGCGCGCACTAACAAACACCAAAGCCTACAAAATGTTTTAAAGTAAATTGAACTCTTTTGCATTCACCTTTCACTTCCTTACACCCAAGGAAAGATATATGAACTGTTTGCACCAAATTATGTTAAAGACGAAACTACTTCACCAGTACACATCATAATTTATACAAAAATCTTATATCACAAACACACCGACCCGTATCCCAC